TTGTTATTTGAATATGCTCCTGTGTTGCACACAGCTACACAGGTTCCTGTGCAACACAGTTTAACCTATTGATTTGTGCAAATGGTTTTGCTCCAATTGTTTCCCGCGGTCCATTTGACATTGTTGAAGTAAAGGCGCGAAATGCAAGGGATTTTATCGAACGCGTCCAAAATGCGATACAGAATCACGAAAATTGTTTCCAACATTAATCGAACCACATCGACAGGTTATTCCAAAAAAATGTATATTGCCGACATATTTAAAAAGTCTAAAAATAACATCGAAAATTCCGTTTGAGGTATCAGAAATTAATCCAGTTTCAGTATTATTATCAATTATATTATATATATAATAATAATAATAATAATAATAATAATATAATTGATAATAAGAAATTAATCCAGTTTCAGTATTATTATCAATTATATTATATATGTAATAATAATAATAATAATAATAATAATAATATAATTGATAATAAGAAATTAATCCAGTTTCAGTATTATTATCAATTATATTATATATGTAATAATAATAATAATAATAATAATAATAATATAATTGATAATAAGAAATTAATCCAGTTTCAGTATTATTATCAATTATATTATATATGTAATAATAATAATAATAATAATAATAATAATATAATTGATAATAAGAAATTAATCCAGTTTCAGTATTATTATCAATTATATTTTTATATATATATTAATATTATTATTTATTATAAACTATATTACTTCGATTTTATGAGAACTTTTATGCTTGATTTTCGGCACTTAGTATGTTAAAACCTAGAAATATTGAAGAATTTTTCGATCGCGTTTCCTACAGTGAATAAAAATTGTACGAAATTTGTCAGTACAGTACGAATTATTCTTAAGCTCTCTGTTAAAAGAAAAAGTGCAACTATAGATTTCATAATGCGCCAATAGGTAAAGGAAACATGCGAATACGGACAACATGAAAGCCATCTACGACATTTGTTACGGCACATAATTCTTATCACGACGTTCCTCTTGCATTGTCTTTCGAAAAATACACAGCTTGTCCTGCGCTCGGTTCGCGAAGAGAAAGCCGCTTCTAGGCGACGTAAAAATAATCGATCGATGCCTCTCCTTCACGGTTGCAGCTTGAGAAATTTAATTGAAATGGATGATAATAAGTAAAAGTCAATTACACGAATTCCTCGCGATATTAATTTCAATATGCAAAGTAAAATTATTTTCCGCCATTCGTCCGTGCTTTTTCACTCATCTTCGAATTTCATGCCCGTCGCTATTCGAAAGAATAATTTAATACGAGGATCCTATTTCCATAATCTTCGAACGAGCCATAAATTCATTTTTACATGCGCCGCGTTTATGCGTAGGGACTCGATAAAAAAATTCTGAAAATATTCGAACCCCATCGAAATGTGTGATACGGATTTATAACACTTCGCGAATTATTAATCAGACCGATTGTTAATCAGCCAGTATGCCAAATGCATTTTTGTTAAATGCACTGCGTAATTAGCAGTGAAATTTATTCACCTCTTTTTTTCTCGTGTGTTCGGAGTACCACAGAGAGGATGAATTATTCGCAAGCTTTTTCCAATTTTATTTCAGCGTTATAAACACACTTCTCCATGTTTTGCCACGCTTGACAAAAATGTTCGCCTTCTTCCGTGTAACTGGAAGTTAATAATCCACGCGAAGGAAATTTTGTATTTACGTCGAAAGAACGTGCACATTCAAAATCGAGAAATACGTAATACTCGAAGTCAAGTAAAAAGTAACATTTAATTTTAGAAAACTGAATTGTTTCATTCGATAAGAAATATTTAATTTTTTGAGATTTCGTGACTACAAGAGAAACTCTAATTATATATAAATACATGGTTTTTTAATTATACATAATTACACCGTAAATATTTCTGGAGAATTTCATGGAAACACGAATTATATAGAAATTTAATTTCATTAATAATTCTTTTATCAAACAAATTAGTTAAGTATATATAAATACGATTCTACATATTCTTTTTCATATATCGTAGTTATTCATTTGTTTTCAAATATAGAAATTGTAAATATTATTTAAAAAATAAGTATAATTATTTAATTTAATGCCGATGCTGTTTTATTATTATCTTTGATCGCAACGAATATAACGTTAAGAATCATGTGAATTTGTTAAATCGTTCACGAATTTATCCAAAAACCATAATTCTGTCTATTTCTTTCGTATTTTTATTTTTCATTGCAGATGAATATAAATCGTTGAGCACAATATATCAAAAAAATTTGATCCTATCAATATAGATTTCGGTATGCGGTAAATTCAGTAAACGGTATTGGAATCCGCATTCCCATTTTGAGAGGCCGTAAATTCGTTTGGCTGTCAGTTACAGCACCAACAACAAAAATTATGCAGTTGCGTTTATAAAGAGGCACCAGCAGCTACGAAACCTTTGAAAACACATTATTCAAGAATATTGTTTACCGATTGCCTTGTACGATATACTAAATCAAATTGCTTCTTCCGGAAAATAATAGAATTCACTCGCAGTTCCTTACTCTGTAACGTGTATTATTCAATGTTGTTGCTGTTAAAAATTTACAATACTTGTTACATAAGAAGCACGATTATCGATTTGTTCTTTAATTTTCAGTACAGCTTTTCGTAGCTTCGAGCATTATGCAGGCAATGTAACTGATTAATTGGACAGTGAATCATAATTATTGGTTCGTACTACTAATATGCGCCGTCATTAATTTTAGATAATTAATCGATCCAGTTTCATTGCGGATTTGCTGCTCCAGAAACCAAACGAGGAAACGTCACTTCAAATGCTCCAGATGATTTCCTTCAATTTTTCACTTTTTAACGTTTTTATGATTAGCCTCGACATGGAAAACACATGTATTCTAAACCTAATTATAATTACTTCATTAATATTAGTCATTTACTCCTACTATTGAGCCGTTTATTTTGAAAGTGGCATAAGTTGCTTTGTTTTTAAGTCGATATATTTAAGGGTTTGCGTTTTAACACGTTTAAAAATATGGATGCTAACTTTCGAGAAGATTTACTTGTATTTGTTATCTCAGGATACTGATATTTTTCTCAGTATAAATAATTTCGTATAAACATTAAAAAATCACCACTTTTCATTACGGTAAAGTGACTTATGCCACTTTCAAAATAATCGGCTCTATTAATATTAGTCAGACTACTCCTGCTATCATCTAAAACAAATTCAAGTCACTTGGTTCGGTTTGAAAAAAGTTATCGCGTTTCAAAAGCTGTGCGCTCAATTCTTTTGAAAACCTAACCAACGCCATTTGCTCGAAAATTTGATATTCGTTAGAAAAATGCAGTCCAAGTCTGCCCTAAATAGCTCTATAAATGGCTTTAACCCTCGGAAGACGAATGGTTCTCGATGGTCGCCGGAGACAAACGCGGGGTCATTTCGACTTATAATAGTTTCTGTTGGAAACTGGAGTCAACACCGCCTTCGAACTTTGTCCTCGCTGGTCAAAATGACCCTGCATTCGACGTGCGAGGGTTAAACGACCTATTTTCGCGAATGTTGTTTACTTTTCGGGTCTTCTTCACATTCGTGTAATTAGTACACGTAATTGTAATGGAAATGGAAAAAACTTGGGTCTCGATTTTACTCGCGTTTCGATGTGACAAAATTGCGATTGCTAAATGTAATACAAATTAAGGGAGATGTAACAAAAAATATTAATGTCTAATTAATATTTTGTTATTATATAAAAATGAACTGACATTGCCTGAACAGAAGTATAGAGATATAAATGTGAAAATTAGCATTTATTTTTTTATTATAAACCTAGACGGTTTATATCGCGATACTTCAAAATAAATGCTAATTTTCATTTATATCCCTATACTTCTGTTCAGGCAATGTCAGTTCATTTTGTCAGTTCAAAGCGTCTAGGTTTATATCGCGATACTTCAAAATAAATGCTAATTTTCATTTATATCCCTATACTTCTGTTCAGGCAATGTCAGTTCATTTTGTCAGTTCAAAGCGTCTAGGTTTATATCGCGATACTTCAAAATAAATGCTAATTTTCATTTATATCCCTATACTTCTGTTCAGGCAATGTCAGTTCATTTTGTCAGTTCAAACCGTCTAGGTTTATATCTCGATACTTCAAAATAAATGCCAATTTTCGTTTATATCCCTATACTTCTGTTCAGGCAATGTCAGTTCATTTTGTCAGTTCAAACCGTCTAGGTTTATATCTCGATACTTCAAAATAAATGCCAATTTTCGTTTATATCCCTATACTTCTGTTCAGGCAATGTCAGTTCATTTTGTCAGTTCAAACCGTCTAGGTTTATATCTCGATACTTCAAAATAAATGCCAATTTTCGTTTATATCCCTATACTTCTGTTCAGGCAATGTCAGTTCATTTTTATATTTTTTTCTCAAACACTCTTGTTGTAAGACAAATTCCGATATTTACAATAAGCGTATCCTACACTCAAATATAAACAATCACGAAACATGTTATTCCTTTATCCGGTCCGAAACTCCCCAAAAATGCCCGAATAATCTCCAATGAAGGAACAGCATCCGAGTAAACCAGCTGCCACAAATACAATATACCGTATACGGCACGATCAAGTAAATTATTAAGCAGGAGTCTGATAGTCGTTATGGTTGCTCGACGATTCCCAGGCGTGCTAGAAAAAAAGAAGGGATGCAACGGCGATAGAACGGACAACGGCGGAAAAACCAGCGAAGCCGTCGAATCCGCGGCCCTAAATCTTCCAGCAGCGGCCGAGGAACCGCTCGAAGGCGTGAAAGATTCGATTTGAAATATGAACGAGACATCGATATGACGCGCGATTGGAGCACGTGGTGGTTCCCGCGTCCGCCGGACCAAGGAGCCTAGCGGACGCAGCTTAGGAGGCCGATCTGCGCAAGCACAGGTGCAAGTTCGAGGGTATAAAGAGGAGAAACCCGAGCCCGCTGCGCGCACTTTGTGCTTCATCTGTCCGTCATTCACGTCGCACGCTCGTTGTTTCGCATCGCAGTGAATCCGCTCGATTTTTTCCCCGACATTCTCGCCAGCGATTTAATCGCCCAGGAGCAGCCACCGTCGCACCGGAAGGAAGCGTCTTGCGGCACCCTTCTACGCGCGCCCTTCTGCTTGGAAAATCTCCTCGTCGGATCCGGCCAGGTAGGTGCACACTTCGCTAAAAACAATTTGCGATCGCCGAGAGAGCGGGAGAGAGAGGACAGGATCCCGCGAAATGTGAACGTGTTTCCGATTCTTTCGTAGAGCATCGAAAAATTAGGCACATTTCAGGGAATATGCCTTCGCGAGCTCGAAGAATGCTCCCAGGATAGACGCGGCGTAAAAGCCGAGGAGGATTTCACGTAGATCCCGTTCGAACGGGTTTTAAGGGATTGGTGAAAGTGTGGCCACAGTGATCGGATTATTCGCGGGGAATTAATTAGAACGGAGACCGTGACGACTCCCGTTTCAAAGGCTGTGCGATTGCGATGTAATTGTAGATGGTGAACGCCGGGATTGGTAGAACGACGGGCATTATTTCGGGGGGGTGGAGGGTGTCTTATTATCCACCGACTGACCTAGAAAAAAAGGGTTTTCAGGGCACTGTTTTAGGGACGTTTGTCGGCGGAACACGCGTTAATGTGGGCCAGTGGATGTCGAGTCCACTGTTTCGAGGCTTCCAGAAATTTTCGGCATTTTTTGGGGTTTTTTTTCCAGCCGTCCGCACGCTCGGCGAGTTTGTTTCGGATCGAATATTCGAACGTGTTTATTTGTGAAGTGGTAGAGAACGGTTTAAAGAAAATATATTCGAGCGATCGAAGAACGTCGGAAACGATTGGACTGTTTTAAAGGCAACATAAAATGATAGAACGTTTGGAGATAATTCGATTGTTCGGAGAAAATATATGAAACGATAGAACGTTGGAAGTAATTAGTCCGATTCGATGAAGATTGGAAAAAGGATCGTATTGTGCGGACTTTGTGAAACAAAATTTGTTAATCTTGAAAGCACCATTTTATTGTCAACAGTTTTTATTATGTCGCCTGAGAGGAGACTACGAAGTGCAGAGGCTCGACTTCGTGCTTCACTTTTCTGCGGAGGACACCGCAGAATCGCGAACAATGAGGAGAAACGTCACGAATTCCGCGTAATTTAGCCGTCCGTGGCTCGTTGTAACTTTAAACTAAATGATTTCTCAATGTTGTAATTGGTAACCGCGCGGCAAATTTAGGAGATCCGTGTTACAATCTTTTCAAATTTTGCTTCGCGCAGTGTAAGTTCGCTTCTTTTTCTTTTCTAAATAATGTAAATTCGTTGTTCTTTCCCCATCTTTAAAGTTACATTTCGATTCGTAGATTTCGTTGGTTATTTATATGTGGAAGCTAATGTTCACCGAAAATATTTGAAACCTGCGTGGAAAATTCGATTTGTCGAGGGATTAAAACGTCTTCTCTGTAGTATTCGAACTCGCGTTATTCGTCGGTCGTTTTCACACACGATGCGTCGCACATGTCATTTTTAATGTAGAAACGAAACTATTATACTTTCACTGTCGATCGGGAAAAACTGTCCAAGAAATATTGTAATGGAAGGTGTGCTTTTTCAAGGTTGCAATTTCTAAATGTCAAGGTCGTTGGTATTTATTTTAAACGAAACAATATCATCGTGTAATCGTTAGAACGTGTCGTCCCCGTTAAACGATGTTAGGTAATTTTTACGATCGTATCTATCAGCTCAGAAAATACTTTAACTTTGATGTTGAACGGTGCTGGGCGGTGCTGCGTTTACTTTCTTAAAGTTGATGCACGGAGGAACGATGTCAACCCGAATGCAAACGTTTGCTCGATGTTTAAATTTAAATGTTTCCGAAACTAACCTTCTTCGATTATAAATATTTTTTCTGTGCGCGGGGTAACGAGCTGGATCGATTGAAGTAATTGAAAGTTGTACAGTTTGATGAGAGAAGAACGCGAAGAACCACGAAGTTTCAGCAAATATGATCTTTACATTACGAACTTCCATTATATTTTCCTGAAATATTTTTTTCTTAGGGAATTATCACTCATCGACAGACTGTGGATTTCTATGGAAAATTAACGTTTGCAAGACAATTATTCTTTTTTTCAATCGATCAGTATCGATCAGTTGAACGTAATACAGAAGCAGCATTTCTGAATTCCTTAAACACCATTAATGTTTTACACTCGAGCTACTCATTTTTCCATAAGTGCATAAAATCCGCGGTGTAGTTTTCGATAAAAGCAAGGGGAACTTTCAGTTGAATTTCTGAGAAGCTTATTTTGTAAAAGCGAACATAAGTTGAATAGTATCTTGCAAAATACTTATGATGTCTCGAATGATCTCCACAAGAAAAAAAAAAATTATTTTTTTTTCACGATTAATTTGTAAACATATTAATCTTGTGATCTGATAAATCCTGTAAATATAGTAGTCCTGTAAATATTCAGTTGACATAGAATAATCTAGTCGAAAATAATGGAAGATGATGTTTAATATCGTACCAAAGATTTTTTTCATTTATCATACGCCCAAATCGAACCACCATTTGTTCAGAGCGAGAAAGAAATTCAACGTGCACGCATCCGAATCTCAAAAATAATAAAATTGCTGGAAGCAGAGCGAACGTCGTATAAAATGATGGAAGAGCGATTTCGAAGAATTTTTTAAAGAACGGAAGGTATCTCATAAAATTATTGCCGACGTTCATGGATCCTGCTTCAGAAGTGAAAATAACGTTCTTTATAACGCAACTTACGTGTACGCGAACGTTGCTTGCACGGCGAGAATTGTTTTTGTTTCGAAGAACTACTACTTGTGACGTGTTCTCGGTTCAAAGAAGATTTAACAGCCCGGCTACGTTCATGCACGTTTCATTTCATTTAAGCCCGTAATTGGTTAATTGTGTTCTGCTTTATTAAGTCTGGAAATCGTGTTTGTAGACCGACCGTGTGCATCTTTAAAAATCGTTCGTCTGAATTTTCGTTCTATCCAGTTACTATGAAATACGTAACTCCGTTAATTCGGCTAAGAAATAAACTGCATTGTTTGCTTATTAACGTAATACTCGGCACGTAACGCAAATTGAAAAACAATTACGCAGTTGATGATCGAACAATAGACTTTCGTGACAAGAATATAACTGAGCATGCTCGAGATCATTTATAA